GTGACCTGGGCAGGCGCAACAAGGTAACGCTCTGTTGGGTTCCTGGGCACTCAGGGATAGAAGGGAATGAGGTGGCTGACAGGCTAGCAAATGTCGCGTCAGCCTCAGACTTCGTGGGACCACAGCCTTTCTGCGGAATCTCTCGTGGGCATGCATGTCACTCAGTCATGGCATGGGCTCAGGAGGAACACAGGAAAAGATGGGTTAGGCTTCAGCACCATAGGGTAAGTAAGCTCACCCTCTTCTCCCCTTCCCAGACGGTCGCCTCCAATGCCCTACAATTAGATAGGAGGCGACTCAGACAGATCACAGGAATGGTCACTGGACATGGCTTTCTGAAATTACACCTGCATCGCTTGAGGATACACAATGGTGACACTGCGTGTAGGAAATGTGGGCAATCAGAGGAGACTGCTGATCACCTACTCTACGACTGCACAGCTCTGAATGAGGTAAGGGACAGTACTCTTGGTGCAATGACAAGGGGCAGACACCTTCCTCAGGAGGAGCTCATTGACAGGATGCTGGAGTTCATTAAGCAACTCAGGTTTGACGGACTCTGAAGTACCATGTGGGGAGCGCAAAAAGCCCATCAGTGGCTGACGTGCAACAGGACAAGGTCCGCCCCTACAGAATCAATCACTCAATCAGTGGCAGCCCTGCGCTCGGGGCTATATCCGTCTGCTCGCAAGAAGACGGCGGAAGTGAGTCATTACTACTACAGACCAGACTGACCAGACAGTCTGTCGCCATTGTGTGTATTTGCCGGTGAGTGTTCGCTCGCATGTAATCCGCGATTTATTACTAAATACGTTATTAGTTCGTAGTGTTAGTGTTAGTGAAGTGTTTGTGTGTGTATAACAGTAATCTTCATGCATTTTATTATGCATAAATATTACTGAATTGTGTGAAATAGTGTTCATAAAAGGTTTTATTTTTTAGCATCATGTCTAACAATGAGGATTCAGATATCCAGCGACTGTTGTTTGACACTGATCTAAGTTCACCCTGTTGGGACATCGATCCCTTTAGTGACGACGAGGAGGAGGTTGATGACCCTTCTTGTAGGCCTAGGCCTATCACCCCTCCTAGTCCAGATCCGGAATTTCCAGCCCCGCCCCCAGTGATCCAGTCCAATCCCCCACCTACTAAACCACCACCCCCCCCCCCCCCCCAGTGTTTCATGCTAACGATGGCCAGGTCGCAGGGCCAAGCAGAGGGATTGCGTATGAGGCCTACAGGGCTAAGTGTTGAACAAAAAAAGTGCCCCCGTTACCCCTCCGTCTGAGAGGCCACCTCCCCTGCGTGACAACCTTCGGCCTAATAGGCATGAACTCTATGAAGCGATCTCTTCTATGGTGCAGGATGAAAGTGACCTAGAAGACCTTTATGACTATTCATCGGGCAGTGGTGAGGAGTATGAGCCAGACTCGGAGGACCTCGATACAACTGACAGGGAAGACATTTGAGGCCTGTTCGGGGTAGCTCCACTCCCAGAGTCACCTCCCCCCCCCCATTTGACCCTAGGCCTACCGACGAAGAGCCTAGGCCCCCTAGGCCTAATAAAAGGCCGTCTCAACCGCTTCACCTCATAGATGAGACGGCTCTTTGTGAAGTAGGCACAGGCCCGCCACCCAAAGTCCCCAGGGCAGCCGCCCCTCAACTTGAAGACCCTCAACCGGCACCAGATCCAGCTCCGCAGGGAGGACTGCCGCGGCAAGAGCTGCCGACAGAAGCGCCGTGGGTGAGGGTCTATCCGCCTGAGCCGGCAGTGGACGCAAGTTCAAAATGTACAGTAAATAATCCTGGACCAACTTGTGCAGTATCAGAAAACCCCTTGCACTACTTCTTTCTCTTTTTCACTGGGGCCATGTGGGACATGTTTGTCAGTGAGACAAACTTGTATGCCCACAGGAATATCAACCATCTACGAAGAACTGGATTGTTGTCCCCGCAATCCCGTTTTCGTAGATGGGTGGACGTCACAGTGGACGAGATGAAGAAGTACTTAGCGCTTTTGTTGGCTATGGGAATAACCCGTCGGAAGAATCTCACCGACTATTGGAGTAAAGACCGTTCACTTCATATTGAGTTTTTCTGCCAAACTATGCCTCTTCGTAGATTTCAATTGATAACATCCATGCTTCATTTGTCATCTCGCGTTTCTCCACCCCAGGGTCATGTAAGATATGATCCTTGGGTGAAGATTCGCGATTTCCTTCAAATGATGAATGGAAGTTTTAAAACTTATTTCATCCCAAGTCAGAATGTATGTATTGATGAAAGTATGGTGGGTATGAAAAACCGTACCACTTTCATACAATACATGCCAAACAAACGCCACTCACGGTTTGGCATTAAAAAGTTTGAGTTGTGTGATTCCAAGACGGGTTACGTCCTTCAGTCTGTGTTGTACTCTGGTAAATACTTTTGTCTGCTGGTTCTGATCCCTTCACTCAGAAAGTTGTTGCGTACCTGATGGGGAAAGTTGGTTTACTGGACAAAGGTTATCATTTGTTCACTGATAACTTCTACACAAAGATCAACTTAGCCCGCTGGTTGAGCCAGAGAAACACCTTTTTGACAGGAACGGTCAACAAGCGGTCTAAGGATCTTTCGAAAGTCGCCTTGGATACAGTGCTACAAGTTGGTGAGACTTTGTACTTTAGAAGAAGGTTTGATGGTTCGGCATCAGTCCTCCTTGTGAAGTTCAAAGAGCGTGAAACCAGGAAACCGGTTCACCTAATATCAAATTGTATGCATGCCCAAGACGTCGAAGTTACCAGTCGAGGAACTAATAGCGTCTCGGTAAAACCAGTGACAATCAAGGTGTACAACGAGTTTATGGGTGGAGTGGATTCAAAAGACAAAAGTGTTTACCACTTGTCCTGCACTCGAACTTCATCTAAATACTGGAGGAAGATCGTTTACAATTTCATTGATATGGCTCTACTGAACGCATACATTTTGTATGCGGCTCAGCATGACAATCCTATGCCCAGGTCAAAATTTAATACCAGTGTAATTGATCAACTGTCAACCTCCGGTGTGCCTCTCCCCCTTCCGCCCACTGTCGGTCCAGGTGGAAACAACCCTGCACAGCACAACCACAACCACAACATCGTTCCGCTGCCTAACCATGGAAGGCGCATTTGTATTGTGTGCAAGAGTCAATGACAAAACAACACACAACGGGGGACATTACATTGCACCATATGCCCGAATGGGGTTCACGGCGTCTGCAGGTTCCAGATGTACAAGAAGATTCCTTGCGTCTTGAAACATCGTCGCGGGGGGAGGAACTAGAGTCAACGACACGGGGGGGACAGGGGGACATCGAGGGAAGGGTGACGACACAGGGACATTGAGGGTGGGTGGTGAATAACTATATTTATTTTTATTACATTTACAATTGTAATGTAAGATGTATTTCATTATTGAGTAGGCCTAATAAAATATAAAATAACAATTTTGTAATTTTTCCTACATTGTTACCGGACCAAATATCGCACGTTATCTCTTATATAATATGCCACTACCCTGTTTATATGCAAATTTATACATTTTATGGTTTATAAATACCTGTACTAGAAATATATAGATAGAATATGGCATTATTGATGTTTATAAACATGACAGAGCTCTCAATGAAAAATAAGACTTTTTACATATTTGCCAAGTTTGCAACAATTTTTGTTTTTCTACATAACACATAAAAAAAAATGATATACCCATTATCCAAGGTGTTATAAATTTTTATAAAGGTAAATGGATACACTACAACATTTTTATATTGGTTTGGGTGTAAAAAATTTGGTACAATAGTTATATACTAAATACTGTACACTCCATTTTCTCGAAATGCGCAAAAAATTCAAACGTTCTCAAATTGACACATAATCATAGGCGAAAATAAGTTTTTACCATCATACTTATGACTTTTTTGGATTCCTTACTTCATTACCTTTACAAATATGTACATATCATCATTAGTTTATACATATATTACATAATGTTTTACAACACAAACAAACACTGTATAGTTTACACTGTTTTGCGGTTTTGCGGTTATTGTATTATTATGTCCACGTAAAAAAAAATATATATTTCTATCATGTTATACATTTTTATGTAGGTAATTGAATACACTACAAGATTATTATGTTGGTTTGAAGTAAAAAAATTTTGTACAAAAGTTGTATACTAAATACTGTGAATTTTCTTTTTAGAAATCGCTAAAATATAAAAACATTATCTCATATACATATGTTTATAGGTAAAAAATTATTTTTACCATAAACTTTATGACTTTTTTGGATTCCTTACTTCATTAGATTTACAAACATGTATATATCATTATTAGTATACACATATATCATATACTTTTTACAACATAAAGTAACACTGTACGGTTTTCAATTTTTTCGGTTCTCCGTTTGTCATTATATTTTGCCCCAAAAACTTATAAAAAAAAATATTTTCCTAACATGTTATATATTTCTATGTAGGGGATTAGATTGTCTACAAAATGTATATAATGAATTTCCCATAAAAAAATCCGTACAAAAAAAAATACCAGGGCCGCTTTTGAAATTTCAAAAAAAAATTCAATTTTTTTTATTTTTTTCACTTTACCGATAAAATACACTATCTAAATCATTATGATACTCATTATCATACTCATTATCATCATTATCATACTATTTCTAGATTCTCCTGTTCTTTCCGAACAAAATGAATATGAGGTTGGCTAGGTTTACTTGTACGGTTGAATTTTTACGAATTTTCAAAAAAAGGTCTGCAAAATCGCCAAAATGGGTTGGCCATTCCCCACTTCTAACATTGGCCACTGCTAGGGTTAAAACTGAACCAATAAAATCAGCAACCGACCCATCACTAATATGGATAAAAAATAGAATTAACTAAACACAATGATCTCCACTAAGCATTTCTTTGTAATTCCTTTTATTTTTTTATCAATGTTATTATGGTGCACTAACCTGAAGACTTTGGTTGAAGCAACCACCAACTACGTAGAGGTCATTGTGCAACACAGCTGTGCCAAAGTTGCATTGCTCAACATGAGGGATGGTGGTGAGGTGACGCCACTTGCCTGACGATGGCAGAAAGTAGGTTATCTCATTGGTGATGCCTCCAATGCCAAAACCTCCCACCTAGTCATCACGAGGAGATTAGATCTGTACATCACTATTCCAATACTAAAGTGGACATGCCATACATGCTGACCAGGCTGTAGCACATTGTTAATCAAAGAAGAACAGAGTTAGACGAGCCATTCACAGAGTGTGCTACTGCTTACAGTTATTTTTTTCCCTCAGCTTTTGTCACTGTCATAGTTGATGTAATATAAAATATGCCATAATTCACAAAAAAGTTTTCTTTTCAATAATTTGGCTGCTTTACAAATTTAGTGCTTTTGGCAGGAATCGACACACTATGGTAGTTTCTCAATTTAATTGCTTTCATTTGCATTCTAAATCTTTCAACAACTTTAACATAGGAAGTAAATATCTAGTTCTATCCATAGTCAAAGGTTGTACATATAAATAGAAAGACCAGAAAGTAACTGACGTACTTTTTGCCACTCGGAGCAGTCCTATCAACACCATCCATGAATCAGAGCGTTCCTAAACTCAGTAGGCATCCAGCTATGGGAGCGTACACATCATACCTCTCGTACTTTGTCTGCAGTGGCAATTTTATTGTGATTTTATTGTAATATTTAAAAGCATTGATAACAGATATTTCTACCTTGACCACAGCCAACTCCATGCCCCTGCTGTTTACCAGAGGGGAGGGTAGTGGCGTAGCACGATGATGGCGAGACTGACGCAGAGCTTCAGACAGCACCAGACGAGACAACTGTTGGTCCACCCGTCGCAAGATACTTTCCAGCTCCCACCGTGACACCTGTCCAAAGTGAATGCGACGGAGCAGTCGCACAGACCACCCGCACATTGACGAACTTCTACTAGAACATATTAGTGATTTGAGACTAAACTTGTAAAGAATAAATATACCTACACATGATAAAATAGACTCTTTTAAAATTGCATTGAATGAAAACCCTCATCAATTTAAAATCACAAAACCACGCTTAGAGTTTTTTCTCATCGAGCTATAATGAGTATCATGTACTCTGTCAGGTACACATTTAAATGTATAAAAAGACTAATGCAAAAATTGGTTTTGGGAAAATCCGTATCATCACTGTATTATTGTCATGAATTCTAACAAAATAACACATTAGATCAATCACAGATATTTTTGCCAAGCTATAAGAAGTGTTATAACCGACCTATGGTTATCATGTGAAGTGGTCATGAGCCACCTGAGTGTGATAGCCAGGACATCTGCTTCAGGACAGTCCACAGGGAAGTCACATGCGAGGAGGTGCTCCAGCTGACTGGGATGTAGACGTGCAAACTCTGGTGATCGGGAGAACTCAACCAGGTGACCACACATGAACCTGTACACCACACCTCGCAGCTGGGACAGTGAGTATGTTTCTGAGATGGTGGCAATGTCCACACAGTTATCCAAGTCCAACTGTGACTGCAATCACATCAACAGTGAGGCTACTTTGTGTCATCTCTATCGGAGGACGTTCTAACGTAAATATGTTAGAATTGAAAGTCTGTGAGAATCAGCTTGAAATAAAAACATTTATTAAAAAAAAAGGATTGAATAGGTCCTATTCAATCCTTTTTTTTAATAAATGTTTTTCTTTAGTCTTAAGTACGAGAGGTATGATGTGTACGCTCCCATAGCTGGATGCCTACTGAGTTTAGGAACGCTCTGATTCATGGATGGTGTTGATAGGACTGCTCCGAGTGGCAAAAAGTACGTCATTTACTTTCTGGTCTTTCTATTTATATGTACAACCTTTGATTATGGATAGAACTAGATTCTCACAGACTTTCAATTCTAACATATTTACGTTTTGAATACCTACCTGAAAGATGGCATTTAATAAAATATCATTTCAAATAAATATTTTAATACCCCCACCGCAGCAAACCTGCAGACTAAGCAAATTTCAACTTGTCTGATTACATTTTTACTAAAATATTTCCATAAATAAGACATATTTATTCCCTATTTAAATATCATTAGATTTAACGTGTGCTTAGGTTTGCTGCTACGGGGAAGGTAAAAAGTGTTTTTTGAACATACGTCAATAGTATAGGATGAAATAAATAAATTTGCCATATGTTATCAATATATATCCATAAACAAGTAAACTACAACAATTTTCATTTTTCTCCATAAGAATAACATGGAATTTTAAATTACACTATTTTTGAATTTTCTCCGTGACCGTTAGGCATACAACAGCGCTTCAATATACTAAATTATTTATTTTTTAAGCTCTACAAAACGGTTTAAAAATAAATTGCAAAATTTTTGGTTTTTAGGGTCAAAAATAGGAAAACTCCATTTTTACCCCATAAAACCCCCCATAAACCCCCGTTCCCATGGTCCGATTATGCTGGATCGCGAACTCGTTTGAATAAACCTAGGTTTACACATTTGTACCAAATTTCATCAAAATCGGATCGTTTTTGCTTGAGTTATCGCGCTAACGGACACACACACATATCTAATATATAAAATTCTCGTGTCACAGTGTTTGTCTGCAAACTCCTCCGGAACGACTTCACCGATCGTTATGAAATTTGGTGTGTAAATTCTGTAGGTATGCGAATCGGACGTAAACTATTTCCCGTTTCGAAATTCTTAAAAGGGCTCCGCCCCAGTGGCTCTGGAGTTTCCCATGTTAACCTTATTGGTTCTGTTCTATGATGTTCAATAGCATTAAAGTTACAAGGATTACCAACAGGGTGCAGCACTATTATTTCTTTTACATTTATGACAACAGCTAATTTGCAACCAAAAGGTGAGTGAGCGTAGCGAACGAACTTCAACCTGGAGGCGAGTTAGCGTAGCGAACGAGCTAACCTGAAGGCAAGTGAGCGCAGCGAACGAGCTCCAACCTAAAGGTGAGTGAGCGTAGCGAACGAGCTCCAACCCAAAGGTGAGTGAGCGTAGCGAACGAACTTCAACCTGGAGGCGAGTTAGCGTAGCGAACGAGCTAACCTGAAGGCAAGTGAGCGCAGCGAACGAGCTCCAACCTAAAGGTGAGTGAGCGTAGCGAACGAGCTCCAACCCAAAGGTGAGTGAGCGTAGCGAACGAACTTCAACCAGGACGTGATTGAGCGATGCGAACGAGATCATCTTGCAAATTAAACGTAACGGTACTTTCTTTCCATCGGTCTGTCTTAGGGGAAACCTATAACTTAGGCGATACGAAGTTCGCCGGGTCAGCTAGTCTATATATATAATTCTGTAAGACAAAATTTTTACCAGAAAATTGTGGACGCCTGGTAAGTCACAGAAAAGTGGGAGGGGTCTTAAATTAATGGTCTTGACCCCAGGGACTCGGGAAAAATAGCAGAATTCCCATAAAGTTACCAGAAAACGAGATATAACGTAAAATATCCACCATAAGAAATACATGGGGACTGGAAAACGTCTGCATTCTATCAGCTGTTACTTATTTATTTGCAATGTTTACATTTATTCCAAAAGTCCATGTTGGTAAATAATGTTTCAAAATCAATTGGATTTGTTTAATTTTTTTGTTTTCCGTTTTTATAACGAGTGAAGTAACTATACAGGGTAGGGACCTGCAAGACGTGGAAGAGTGTCCAGGAATTCAACAGATTTAAGAAATTCTGAAAGAGATTGTCATGTAGGGCCTAACTGTGAAAGAAATCCAGAAGCTGTTTTACAGCCTGCCTTCAGAAGAACACTGGAAAATGAGTTGAGTGTGGTTTTTCACAATCTAGGTCCTCTTAACAGCACTTGCATGTATTGTGGCACTTCACTTCGCAGAGGAGGCCACAAATGGAAATTTCAACGCATGTTGCCACAATGGACATGCCACAACCACAAGTAAATGACGAACTAAAAGAACCGTTTTTACATGATTCGAACTTCAAACTTCATAAGAAACATAAGGCAATACAACAGTGCAAAGGCTTTTGTGTTGCTTTCCGCTACACAAAAAGAGATTCCGGGAAATGGGCCTTACTGTTTTAAAATTCAGGGACAAATTCATAGATATATTTATGACTTACTACCGCGAAATGGGGGGCCTTATTATTATTATGATGGGGGGGGCCTTCATAATAACTAATAATAATTTTAACCTTTACATTTGGTTCTAAAAATGGAAACTATAACAGAGTTCGTAAGATTACAAAACAAATCTTCAATTTTAAACTGGAAAAGATGTGCAATGTTTGGCTGTATGATTTCAGCTGTGATTCGTCGTTCTCCGGGATCAGGCCAAACTGTGTGCACGTTTCCATTTGTTAATATGTTGTGTTATTGATTTAATAATTATTTTACAATTGTACTTCATTGACACATCAAAAAGCAAATAATATACGACTCCAAAAGAAGGAAAACCAAAATATAAAACAAGAAACACTGTTAATTTTAAGTAACATAAAATTTATAATTTTAAAAACATATTTCGAATATTTGTCTTTTTATATGGTTTTTTTATTGTGGTTTAAATTAGGGGCTATGGCCCCTACAGGCCACTAGTCTATATATATAATTCTGTAAGACCAAATTTTTACCAGAAAATTTTAGACGTCTGGTAAGTCGCAGAAAAGTGGGAGGGGTCTTAAATTAAAGGTCTTGACCCCAGGGACTCGGGAAAAATAGCAGAATTCCCATAAAGTTACCAGAAAACGAGATATAACGTAAAATATCCACCATAATAAATGCATGGGGACTGATAAACTTCTGCATTCTATCAGCTGTTACTTATTTATTTGCAATGTTTACATTTATTCCAAAAGTCCATGTTGGTAAATAATGTTTCAAAATGAATTGAGTTTAATTTTTTTGTTTTCCGTTTTTATAATGAGTGAAGTAACTAGACAGGGTAGGGGAAGACCTGCAAGACGCGGAAGAGTGTCAACAGACTTAAGAAATGCAAACGAGAACGTCATGTAGAAATAACTGTGAACCTAACTTTGAATGAAATCCAGAAGCTGTTTTACAACCTGTCTTTAGAAGAACGCTGGAAAATGAGTTGAGTGTTGTTTCTCACAATCTAAGTCCTCTTAAAGCACGTGCATGCATTGTGGCGCATTTCACTTCGCAGAGGAGGCCGCAAATGGACATTTAAACGCATGTTGCCACAATGGACATTCCACAACCACAAGTAAATTACGTACTAAAAGAACTGTTTTTACACGATTCGAACTTCATAAAAACATAAGGCAATTCAACAGTGCAATGGCTTTTGCGTCGCTTTCCGCTACACAAAAAGAGATTCCGGGAAATGGGCCTTACTGCCTTAAAATTCAGGGACAAATTCATAGATATATTTCTGACTTACTACCGCGAAATGGGGAGTTGCCTTCATAATAATTAATAATAATTTTAACCTTTACATTTGGTTCTCAAAATGGAAACTATAACAGAATCCGTAAAATTACAAAACAAATCTTCAATTTTAAACTAGAAAAGATGTGCAATGTTTGGCCGTATGATTTCAGGTCTGATTCGTCGTTCTCCGCGGGCTCAAGCAAAACCGTGTGCACGTTTCCATTTGTTAATATGTTGCGTTATATTAATCATTATTTTACAATTGTATTTCATTGACACATCAGAAGCAACTAATATACGACTCCATCGAAAGGAAAACCAAGATATAAAACAAGAAACACTGTTAATTTTAAGTAACATAAAATTGATAATTTTGAAAACATATTTGGAATATTTGTCTTTTTATATAGGGGTTTTTTATTGTAGTCTAAATTAGGGGTTATGGTCCCTACAGGCCACTAGTATATATATATATCTATATATATATATATATATATATGTATGAATTTGAACGGATGGTGTTTTTGGCCTCTAGGGACCTCAAAATGAAAAATTAAATCAGTCCGGGGTCCAGGTCTTACCATTAGTACTACGGTAATAGCTTATTCCCTATATGGGAAATTTGCTAATATTCCCTATATGGGAAATTCGCTAAAAACTAATCTTTAATACTATTTAACATGTAAAAATTAAACTTGTTTATGATTTCAGGGTTGAATTTGAAACAAACACATATTTTTTATACTAACTAACATGAAAATCCATTTTATCGTTAGTTTCACAAGCATACCAACCTGTAGGTAATTAGAGCATGCCTCCACTACTGCAACCACCTGTATGTGGCTAGCAGCACTCAGCACATCTTGTATATTGGCCAGGTTGAGAGCCAAGCGGGATGTGTAGGCGTAGTCCAGCAGCAGACGCATACCAGCTGCACTGACGCCGTTCAAGCAGATCTCCGACTGACGTGACTCACGCATTGCGTCCGTGAACATAGCACGGAAGTAGTCACTACATGAAGCCAACACCACCCGGTGTGCCTGTAATAAATAGTCTTGAATTCGTTGTTTGTTCTGTGATTGAGGTTATCAAAGAACTGTTTAAAAGTGGGAACTATTCAGACTAGAGATTCAATAGAATGTGGCCAAGTTTCAGAGAACTAAGAATATGCAATTGAACATCTTCTTGGTAATAAAATTCATATTTTAAGATAAACGAGGTGTTAGCCCGTCCTACGTACGGGAATTCAGTAGTCAGTTAAAACCGTGTACAATTCAGATCAGCTAGTTTACACATATAAAGACAAAGTTTCTTGCAGTTTTAATGTGAAAAATCATCTTGTAAACAAATGTTTTGTGACCAAATATGTTTTTATTCCATCATAGGCCTATACGATATGCATTTTAAATCCGATAATTTTACAATAAAACAGCAATTCTGCAATTTTTACGATGTGAAAAGCGTTGAAGTGAAATTTGCAGCAGATTCCCACAGACGCACACTGATTATAAGTAGCCTACAGTAGAGAGAGTAATAGTCAATTGAGAAGTGTATAGACCTAGTCAACGATACCACCTTCCATATAGCATAACTCCCTCTTCCATAATTATTATCACCATTCACCACAATACAACTACTATACACAATTTCCAGTAGGTCTGAATAGAACCGACCTAAAATAAAACGATAGTATCCAATAAAATTCACAGTACACATAATTTAACTTTGGTGTCCTAACATCAAAACTAATCGTCACACCTATCCTTTATATCAATTTCACTTTATTAATTGCTAAATAAATAAGAGTAAACAAAGAAAAGTAAAAACAAAAACAGTTTGTTTTGAAACAGCTGTTTGGTTCAAATAACATTCATTTGAAAAAAAAGAACTGGTCACATGTAGCAGGAATATAAAAAGTAAACACGCTACGCTAGTAAAGCTAATGACGTAATTGTCAATGTTTATTATCCATACCGTTAACAGTTCTATCCTTGATAATTACCCACCCTCATTGAATAAATGTACATCGTAATTTCCCATATTAGTTAGTATATAGATATAGGCGCCCCAAACGTAACCACAACTGAACACGATTTCATAAAAGGATGGACAGGATGGTTTGTCTAATTGCAGTATCCTAGGTCAATGTTGACGTTGTGTTCAATCTATGTCATCCATCTGTTTATCTTTGTATAAAACCCGGCTGAGGTTGTGGTGGTAATTTAAAATCGTGATTCCTGATTATTCTTGATCTTCTTTTTATGACATCAATATTTCCGGGCCTAATCCAAACAAAGTTAAAGCAGACAAACATTAATTGTAAACAAAAAGCTACCATGAAGAATTAAAACCTGTAAACATTGTTATTTTTCTAATCTTTCCTTGAAAAGTGTAGCAATAAAATAATTTGCATTTATCCTTTTTATTAAGACTCGTGTACAGAGCCTCGATTTGTACTGGGGTTTAATTAGTTTTGGTTAAAACTGTGGTTTAAACTGTAGTCTAATTATCCCTACTAATCTTACTTATTTCCTATTAATGACAAAATAAGAGTAAATAAAATAACCTCATAGTTCCATAGTTTATATTTAACCAGCTGTTAGTTAAAACAAATTATATTGCTCTAAAACAAATCGAAGATTACAAAGATCGCTTTAAAAAAATAATTTGAACATCCTAGTATTTTACTATGTATATTAGGGATGGACGGGTCCCGAAATTTCGGGAATTTTTCGGGAAAAAAATATTCCCGATTATCGGGACGGAATTACATTTGACTCGGGAATTTTTCGGGACGGGATTTGGTCCGATCGTCGGCAATTTTTCCGCTTCGCGAGTGCCGATAACGCCGTTATTGTGAGCGATAGGTCCGCGAACGCAGGAGACGAAGTCATTTCGACGATTACGACGTGACCGCGGAGTCATAACGACGATCGGGCTGTGACCGCGGAGTCATACCGACGATCACGCCGTGACCGCGAGTCATAGCCTACCGACGATCGCCCTGTGACCGCGGAGTCCTACCGACGATCGCGCCGTGACCGCGAGTCATACCGCCGATCGCGCCGTGACCGCGAGTCATACCGACGATCGCGCCGTGACCGCGGAGTCCTACCGACGATCGCGCCGTGACCGCGAGTCATACCGACGATCGCGCCGTGACCGCGGAGTCCTACGGACGATCACGACGTGACCGTGGAGTCCTACCGACGATCGCGCCGTGACCATGGAGTCATGCTGACGATCGAGCCGTGATCGCGAGTCATACCGACGATCATGCCGTGACCGCGAGTCATACCGACGATAACCCCGTGACCGCGGAGTCTTACCGACGATCGCGCCGTGACCGCGGAGTCCTACCGACGATCGCGCCGTGACCGCAAGTCCTACCGACGATCGCGCCGTGACCGCGAGTCATACCGCCGATCGCGCCGTGACCGCGAGTCATACCGACGATCGCGCCGTGACCGCGGAGTCCTACCGACGATCGCGCCGTGACCGCGAGTCATACCGACGATGGCGCCGTGACCGCGGAGTCCTACGGACGATCACGACGTGACCGTGGAGTCCTACCGACGATCGCGCCGTGACCATGGAGTCATGCTGACGATCGAGCCGTGATCGCGAGTCATACCGACGATCATGCCGTGACCGCGAGTCATACCGACGATAACCCCGTGACCGCGGAGTCTTACCGACGATCGCGCCGTGACCGCGAGTCATGACGACGACCGCGCCGTGACCGCGAGTCATGACGACGATCGCGCCGTGACCGCGGAGTCATTCTGACGATCGAGCCGTGATCGCGAGTCATACCGACGATCATGCCGTGACCGCGAGTCATACCGACGATAACCCCGTGACCGCGGAGTCATACCGACGATCGCGCCGTGACCGCGAGTCATACCGACGATCGCGCCGTGACCGCGAGTCATGACGACGATCGCGCCGTGACCGTGAGTCATACAGACGATCACCCCGTGACCGCGAAGTCATACCGACGATCGCGCCTTGACCGCGAGTCATACCGACGACCGCGCCGTGACCGCGAGTCATGACGACGATCGCGCCGTGACCGCGAGTCATGACGACGACCGCGCCGTGACCGCGAGTCATGACGACGACCGCGCCGTGACCGCGAGTCATGACGACGATCGCGCCGTGACCGCGGAGTCATTCTGACGATCGAGCCGTGATCGCGAGTCATACCGACGACCGCGCCGTGACCGCGAGTCATGACGACGATCGCGCCGTGACCGCGAGTCATGACGACGACCGCGCCGTGACCGCGAGTCATGACGACGATCGCGCCGTGACCGCGGAGTCATTCTGACGATCGAGCCGTGATCGCGAGTCATACCGACGACCGCGCCGTGACCGCGAGTCATGACGACGATCGCGCCGTGACCGTGAGTCATACAGACGATCACCCCGTGATCGCGAGTCATACCGACGATCGCGCCGTGACCGCGAGTCATACCGACGATCGCGCCGTGACCGCGAGTCATGACGACGATCGCGCCGTGACCGTGAGTCATACAGACGATCACCCCGTGACCCGCGAGTCACAAGTTTCTATAGGTACCTGTAAATTGTTACCCATTTTTTGGTTTTTATAGATCAGTGCCACAAATGGTAAAAATTGATTTCGTATGTCTTTTTTGGTAACTGCAATACAGTACTTTCTTTTTATGCATAGAAAAAAAATCCCGTCCCGTCCCGTCCCGAAAATCGGGAAGGAAATAAAAATCCCGTCCCGTCCCGTCCCGAACTAAAAATTCAATCCCGTCCATCCCTAATGTATATTTAATTAATCTGTCATTCTCTTACAGAAGAATTGAACGTATCAATAATTAGCATTACACATAGTATAATAAGTCAACCTATAAATAAGTCAAGTATGTCTTTACATTTTTATCCAAATGCTGAATTTGTAACACAAAAGCTGAATGTTTACAGCTGTTAAGCCAATTATTTTATGCCAAAAGCTAGTTTAGAATCTTAGCGTCGGCTGCTAGACTTTTTAAAAATTAAAACTTAATTTCTAAAAAACTGGGACCCTAAACTAAAATTATGGCTTCGACATTCCCTAGTTTTCAAAATTATCTTTCTTTCAACACAAAAATCATGAAAATCCGTCGAGTGGTTGATTCAGAATCGTGAAATAAAAAAAACACTGTTTCGTTTTAATATTAGAGATTAGTTAACTCTTTGAGTGCCGTTGTGTTATGCCTATTTCTTATGCATAAATTGCCGAGCTAAATTAAAAGGAAAATACAGGTAGTTTACAGAAAATGTCATATAAAATTACATATAAAAAACAATTTTAAAGGTATCCTAGTAATTCTAACCATTTATTAATTAGACATTAGACATTATTTATTTGCACATACCATTCTTTTAGATGTGATAACATATGGAACAGGTGCATTGACAAAATTGAGCCTAGACTTGAAAAATACAAAGTAAAAAGTAACAGAATAAAAAAACCTAGCCAAATAATGTTTATAGTTAAGAAGATTCAAAAAATTAACTCAAGGGATGGTTATAAAATTCTTCTATTTTATAAAATACACGTTCAAGGAGTTCATTTTTCAATCTGTCTTCAAACTTGAACTAATTTTTTTATAATATACCAGTAGTTTATCATCCATTTTTTAACCTGAGTACAAAGGACTTTTTTCAAAGAAGGTCAAATGGTGATTTGGTAATCTAAAAATTGTTTCATTTCTTTTACTATACTTGCGTGTGAATTTGAATGAATCCAGGAGGTTATTTTTATATTGTGTATGTAATTTAATAATTCATATATTTAATAACTCCTGTGAGTGTTTGGATTTTTAAATTTTGAAAATATTACAAGGACTTCTGGGGTGGGAATTAGTCATAATTTGGATGATTCTTTTCTGGAGTCTGAAAATAGTTTTTGCATCATTTGCCTGTCACCACAAAATCACAGCATACTTCAAGATGGATTCTACATACGCATGATAAACCATTTTAAGTACTTCAATGGTAACACATTCTCTCAAGTGGACAA